TTGGTTGAAAGAGACTCCTTATACATCATGTTTGTTATATACAGTAAATATTTTCTTCCCGCCTTTTATTTACGGTATTTTCACCTTAATCTTTAAACATGTAGTTAAATCTACCAGCCTCTTCCTATATGGTTTCTAGACTTTTCTTCCTTTATGGTTTCTGGCATGCTTTTAAAGACGACCCTGAGACTATGAAAACAGTACTCTTATAATTTTTTTAGGTTTAGGTATTTACTCCACCTGGAATCTATTTTTGTTTATGACATGAAATAGGGATGGAATTTTATTTGTTCCCCCCAAATAGCCAATTTTCTATATAACACATTTTAAACAATCCATCCTTTCCCACCTGCTTGAAATACAAGCTTTATTAGTTCAAAATTGTCCACAAAACACGTTTCTGTAGTTTATTCTGTTCTACAGAACTATTTGCCCATTCCTACTCCAAAACCATTAGCCTCATCATTCTATCTTTGCAACACGATTTCTCAAATTTACTCTTCTGGATAACTTTTTAATTTCCTTAAAATTATATTGGATTTTTAATTAGAAGAACCTAATTTGGGGAGAATTGATATCTTTACAAATTGAGTCTTCCCATCTAGGAATATAGTATATTACTACATTAATTCACACCTTCTTTTATGAATTCAGTTTTTTCCTGTAGGTTTCACATATTATTATTGGTACGTTATAGTTTGGATTACTGGTATTTTTTTTTAAAGAATGACCATGACAAATCATATCCAGTCTAGACAGCTTCACTTCAAACACAGTGCCATGCTGAATAAATTTTTTTAAAATATTTTAATTATTTTTTTACTCAAAAGATTTTAATATTTATTTGTTCATATCTGTGGGGTACAGTATGTTGTTTCACTATACGCGTATACTGCATGATGATTCACTCAGGGTAGACAGCATAGTTTTGTACCCATCGCTCCATCATTTTATTTATTTCTAATTGTACGTATTTGTGAAGTACAGTGTGTTGTTTCAATGTATATAAATATTGCACGATAATTCACTGAGGGTAGATAGTATATTCATCATCGAAACATTTGTCTCTTCCTTGTGGTAATTACATTCAAGACCATCTTTTCCAGCTGTTTAGAAATATACAATATAATATTATTAGCTACAGTCAGCCTAGAACACCAGAACTCATTCTTCCTGTCTACCTGTAACTTTGTACCTGTGCATCTACCTCTTTTCCCCACCCTCCAACCCCCACTCTCCCATCCCACCATCCCTTCCCAGCCTCTGGTAAGCATCATTCTACTCTACTTCTAAGAGCCTTGTTTTTGTTCTAGATTCCAGATATGAGTGAGATAACGTGGTATTTGTCTTTCTGTGCCTGACTTACTTCACTTAACATGATGGTCTCCAGTTCCATCCACGTTGCCACAAAAGACAGAATTTCATAAAAAATAAGTTTTAATTCATGGGTAAGCTTGAAATCAATGGACATTTATTTTGTGAGGGCCCACACAAAAGCAATCATCGTTTCTTCTTTCTTTTACAAAACCAAATATCATGAATTAAAGAAGAAAATGATGAAGTGGTATTTCAATATTTCATTTTTATAAAAAAAAAATTTTTTTCTGTGAATACGTTCCCTTCCTTCCTGACAAACGTTGAGCTCAGATCAGTGGTGCACACATAGGCTGCGCGGCTGGCTGAATGTCACCCTGGGGGACGGGCGCAGGCTGAAGGGACGTGCTCTCGGGGAGCCATGCGCCGCCCTTCCCCCGACCCCACGCGAGGACAATGACCTGTGGCTTCTAGAACCCCAGCCAGCTCCTTGGAAACGGTCGTCAGTGCCCTGGTGGCCGCAGCTTCTGCAGCACCTGATTCGGGAGGAGAGAGCGGGGCGCGGCTGGGCCGGGGGTCAGCCTCACCGTGAGGGGCGCCGGGGGTCCGCCGTGCCCGGAGTGCAGCCCGGAGCCTCAGGAGCCGCCCCCTTGCCCACGCCCCGTCTGTGTGTTCGTGACACTTCATCGCCTGTCATCGACTCACCGATCACCTTTGCCTCCCTCCTAGCCGTCCCGGCTGTCCGGACCTGCTGGCTCGATTTCCATTGTGGAATTTGTTCTGGGCTGTAAACTTAGGTAAGTCAGGGTGACCGACCAAC